ATCGACAAAGAGGTGGAGGAGGAGGAGGAGGAGGAAGAGGAGGTGATACAGTTGAAAGATGTGACAGTTGGCAGGCGGGATGAAGAAGAGGAAAGAGGACCAGACTTGGAGAGTGTCCTGACAGTAAGATGACCCTCTTTAGCCTCTTTCGGGTGTCCAGCCAGCATCACTACCAGCTGCCATTTCAATATAGTGCTGCATCAGCAAAAATACAAAGGGGGAGAGACAGATTATCTGCCCCATTTGCAGAGAATGAATCAGACAATAGCTATCAGCTAATGTGAGATAGAGACACAAAAGAATAGTAACAAATGAACCATTCACTGAACAGAAATGTAAAATTCAGCTTGGAGAGCTCATGAAATGCCACTCAGGCGTATTGTCATGTGTCAAAGCACTTCCAGCTGATTGTACCTAATTAATTTCAAGGATTTGGATGAGATGCTGCCTCCATTCTCTGTGCTGTCTAAATAAAGACTCAAGAGGATTGTTGTTCACTGAAATGCTGACTCAAGAGGATGCCACAAGCCTTTTCAGTCTGATCTTGCACTGATAGCGGCTAACTCACAGGCACAAAAGCAACAACGCCCCCTCTTGGCTATTAAACCCCATTACAGAAAAGCTGAGGCTTACATTGCACTGAGGTCCTTCTCTGTCTTCTTCTTCCAAACTGTCCCCTCGAGGAAAAAGGGATGAAACAGTGCGTCTCCTCATTTAACAGCCTGAGATACCTGAAACGATTAAAAAAAGGTCTCAAGTACTGGAAAGTAAATGCAATAGACTTTAAAGATCTTCTCGACACTTGAAAGACACTATTTCAGAAGACGTCCTTTTTTTTTTTTTTTTTTTTTTTTAATTATTTTTTTGGCCTCTGTGCCTTTATTTGATAGGTCAGTGAGAGAGAGACAGGAAAGTGGGGGAGAAGAGTAGGGGGTGGACGTGTGGGAAAGGGTCATGAGTAGGATTCGAACCCATGACCTCCACATTGGGACTGTAGCCCTACACATGGGACACCAGCTCAACCAGGTCAGCTACAGCAGCGCCCAGAAGACGTCCTTTTAACAGACCTCTGACCTTGTAAATTCTCTGAGAGAGACTGCCAAATACCACATTTTTAAATAGCTTTCCTTCAGCTTTGTTGTACAAACACAACGACACAGGAATATATCTTCCAATTTTAACTTTTTAAAAAATATGCACAGAAACACATTTAATGCACAGTGTTTCTTATAAATTCTATTGCTGCCAACATGTCAAAACTGATAGATGAATGGAAATATTCTTTTTAAATCCAAAGTTTCTTGTCACAATAACAAATGTTCTTCTCAAAGATAATTTTCAAATTGTACAGCATATTTGTGATGAGATTATCATTAATTTAGTTTTCTTCTACAATATTACAAATTTTTATTTTTTCCACAAAACCAACCAAATCTCATTAAAACTAACTTAAAATGACAAACTAATTATGAGTAACAATAAGTAATGTGAAAGTGTCAAATTCGCTCTTCTGGATAGCATACTGGACCAAACTGTTTTCAAAACTAATAATACTAAATCATGCTGGTGCATTTAGGTGTTACGTAAACATAAAAACAGACTTCCAGTGTAAAAATCTAAATATAAATCACACGAAACATACTCTGGAGTAGAGATGGACTTAAAACTAACAGATTTAAAATGCTCTGATATCCCACCAGTTTTTTCAAAGAGTGGAAATAATAACAAAGCACACAAACCTCTTCTCCTGCAGTCCCACTTGAGAGCTTTGGTCTTGGCTGGAATTTGACACGGACTCTGGCACTAAGTCATCAGGAGTGTGTGCTGTATGTCCAGTCACTTTCTCACACTCTGCTCTGGAGGATCTCCACATACCTCAGCGTGAAATGCTGCATGCTGCAACTTTCCCTCAGCTCAGCGTAATCCTGCAGTGATTAACAGGCGACTGCAACAGAGACACCTCGCTGTAAGCTCACTGTAACGCACAACACTGGGCTCAGTCTGTCTTCACAGGTGTTTTATGAAGTTTGATTTCAACAACATAAAAAATAAATGCTGCTTAAGTTCAAAAACAAATGGATCTGAATTCAAAATACCTGGTCAAACCTATAATCCAGCCAGTGCATGAATTTAGCAGGGCAGCTCATCCACATTAAATGTTCCTTGACTCTTTTTTTTTTTTTTCAATGTGCAAGGAAGTGTTAAAACTTGTTTCAGCTTAAGCTTTAGAGTTGGAAAAAATCATCCCATTGTATACTGAACACAGCAAAACATAATGCAAGAATGTAGTGGAATCAGTAAATATTCCTTCTGGAGATCTCTCTACTGGGATCAGACCTTGACTATTATTAAAAGGCAGCCTACCACGATTTTGATGAGGCTTTAATGAGGTTATCAACTGTGGCATATTCAATGATGAGACAGCTTAGCACTACCATGGCTAACATAGATGCAGCATTGTTCATTTCTGTTGTATCACAGTTGGTGGAGTTGTGGTGGAGACATTTTTAGAATAGGTTCAATAACCTGTGTGTCACTAACTTGTTTTTAGGAGGCTTTCATTTATTTTCTAATTTATAGTCTTGATTAGGCACAATGCAAAAATGTCAACGTCCAGTTTTTAAGATTTCAAACTGTGCTGGTGATGGAGAAACAATTTGATCACATTCCTCTTATCCGTAAAGGGTTGTTTGTTTTGGCCTCGCAGTTGTGGAGCTGTTACTGACCAAATTTAGGAATGTTGTTCGAGGAGACATTTTTTATAAATAACCTGGGCCTTAAGGAGTTAAATTCACCAGATACGTGTACTTAATACATTAAAGCTATGTGTAACTTTTTACCACTCACACTGAATAAAAAACATAAGCAGCATGCAAATAGTCTTCTTTAATACCTCAGAGAAAAAGTTTAAAATCTAATTTCGATTAGAAAAGGGGTACATTTATCCAACTGTGCACCAAGTTTTTGAGCTACTGAGCCACTGAGTGACAAATTCTTGACCACTGACCTAATCTATACACCATTCAGGTGTGGCTGTAAAGGACAATGATCAGACAGTGTGACCAGCACACAGACACTCCTTTGACCCGTGACTATAAAAGGCCAACTTAAAATGCAGCCTCATTCAAATGACATGATGCCACAGATGACAAGAAGAAGATGAGAGCAGACTGTAAACCTGCTGGATGCTGGCATGTCTCAGTTAGAGCTGTAGCCTGACTGCTGAATGTCCACAGCTCCACCATTATAATCTAAGAAATAATTTCAGACAGCATGATATGAAAGAAAATCTGCCACAACATGATCTGGATGGATGAGTCCAACAAAGTGATCCTGTCCCACTAAACATCTGACGACGTTGCCAAGTTCTTTGGCAAAGTTGGAAGAGTGGGACAACAATCCACAAACAGCATCAACAACCTCACTGAACTCTATGTGTCACAGATGTGTGACTTGTTACTGGCTTGTGATTTCTGGTCTATGACCCCCCTTTCAATTGGGACATGATCATTTCTAATATAGTGTGCACTTGGTTGCTTCATTCTGCTGTACAGATGCTATGAGCTGGAATAACAAACACATATTTCCTTATGTTGAAAAGAATGTATAGGATTTGATAAAATATTACAGGCTGCATTTATTGAATTTCCCTTCTGGGATAAATAAAGTATTTTTTTCATTTATTGGATTTCTAGCTCTGTATAAATCCTGTGTACGTTTGCATTTAAGAGCAATATTGAACAAGAAAACGTTAGTTCAAAACAAGGCCTGTTCTTGTTGTCTAGGCAACACAAACTGTTGACTAGTTAAAGTACATCAAGCATACAATATATTCTAAACGTGTAGCAACCGTTTTACTTAGAGTACTTCACTCCTTATTTTATAATTTATGTAGAATTTATTTCACTTATACAGTTCGTTTTGGGGGTAAAAAAAAAAATCAGTCTGGACATACATACACAATAATTTAGTTGCTAACAAGCGCAAAAGTCATGGTAAGACTAGCATTAGCTTAAGTTTAACACTGATGCTAAATTTACATTCATTAGGTAAATTATGAAGCTCTTAACATTACACGTATTAAAGCTGTACTGTATTTGTTACCTGTGACCGGGTATTCACGCCTCAAACTGCGGTTTAACAGCGCAGTTTGTAACTTCTCTACAGACTTCCGCAGCCAACGAGCACCGCTGTTACCATGGTTACGAGTGAGCGCGCCCTCCAACTGGACGGAACCACACAGCACAGACTCAGAGGGGGGGGGGGGTCTGTGTGTACCAGTCAAACTTACATATAAATATACAGAAGCGCGCCTTTGTTTTCTAAATGTTACTATGAAAGTGAATGAAAAGCTTCTGTTGAAAATAAAATGGAGCAATTTCCTGAAAGTTTAAGGGCAAACACCCCCTGAGGCTGAATGATGACGATGCCCAGCACCTGAGGTTACTCGACCCTAATTTCCCAGCATGCATCATTTCAGAGCCTCCAGAGACTAATTTTATGTAGTTTAAGGAATTCACTCATGCTGGGAAATTACATAAAGCAGCAGAGAATTTTAAGTCAGACAAACTCCTAATTATTTACAGTTTATATGGTCATGACATCCATTATTCAAAGTGCTGGAATAAATCAATCAAACAAGCCTAAATATTGAGGTTAGCGCCATACAATAGTTTATCATTGGGTGAATTTACCCAAGTAACACAAATATAAAAGTTTATTACCCTAAAAAAAGAGTATGCAAAATAAAACTTTGTCCTACAATAATAAATATCTTCTTCCAGCTCTTCACCAAATCCTCTGACAGCACCAAAATTTAACCCGACATGTCTTTGGGATCATTTTTGAATTTACATTGAACTTGGGTGGTGGAGAGCTACCATAAATAAGGTTGGACATTTACTGACGCTTTGCTGCAAAGCTTCAAATAACAGCTACTTAAGCTCAAAGCGCCCATAGGGAACGCTATTAAAAAAATATAAGGACTGTCACACCAATCATAAACATCTGTAAAGAGATTTTATTGGGGACATATTGGATACAGTGGCAAGAAACCATAATTTACAACGTGGAAGATGACGCGTGCAGTCAGAGTTCACTGGGCTCCAGCCTTCGGGGGAACCCACTCATGGATCTTCTTGCGGGTGGTGGAGTAGGGCACGTACTGCTGAGGGGTGCCACTCACGTTGATCTGGTGGGTCTCAGCAAGGAACTTCTTGGGCTCTGGAGGATGTGTGGTGGGGGGATGCTCTGTCATACAGTGCAGCCAGCGATGCCTGGAGAGAGAACATGAGGACAGAACAAGACTTAAACAACAGTAGCTTTCAAAGTATAAAAAGATGAACATTTTCCAAACTTTAAGTTAAATTATTTACATTTCTGCTTAACTTACATGTACTATAGAACTGTAATCAAATAATCTGGGCCCATTACAAAGACTTTATTTTCATCTTTCAACACTTGATGATAGTTGATATTTGTATTCAACAAACACACGATTATGATCGTACATACAAGGTGTGTCACAAAGTTCCAGGACTGGTGTCACAAAAGATATATCGCAAATCCAAACTACAAACTACAAGTTTTCCCCTTCAAAGTAATTCCCCTGGAGTCTAACAAACTTTCCCAGCCTTCTCTTTCACGCCACCATGCACTCCTGGAAGGATTCTTCAGGGATCCTCCTCAGCTCTGTCGTCACAGCCATCTTGATGTCACCCACGTCTTCAAAACGGGTCCCCTTGATGACCCCCTTGAGCTTGGGGAAGAGGAAAAAAAATCCCACGGAGCCAGGTGGGGTGAGTAGGGAGGTTGCTCCAGCACGGTGATGTTCTTCTCAGCCAGGAACTGTGGGATGATCAGGGCATTGTGAGCAGGCACGTTGTCATGGTGAAGCAGCCACGACTTGTCCTGCTACAACTCTCACCTCTTCTGGTGCACTGAACGAAGCAAACGCAGCAGGATCTCTTTGTAGACGTGCTGGTTGATCGTCTGAAGGTGAACACTGGTAGTTTGTAGTTTGGGTTTGAAATATATCTTTTGTGACACCAGTCCTGGAACTTTTCTGACACACCTCATATATACACAAACACTTTGCAATGTTGAAACTTTACATTAACTGGGGCCTATTGTCATAATAGCTTGTGTCAATTTTAAGGAAAATGACAGGTCGTACCATTCAGCGGGCACCATGCTACCGTCCACCTCCCACATGGTGTTCTTCCCATTCATCTCTGTGGTATAGATCACCCAACGGTGACGTGCTGAACACACAGAGGCAAGAGATTGTTCAACAAAACACATGATACCCTTAAGTATTTTCAGAAAGTTCTTTCAAGAGCATTGTGACAGAATGTAAATTTGCACATCACTGATTAACCTGATGTAAAAAAACAACAACTTCAACATAGTTTACAGTCTTTCAAGGACTTGAAAACAAATTCGATTTTAAAGAAACAACTCACCGAAGAAGTAGTGCTTCTTGTCCTCATAGTATCTATTTCCATATTTATCCACGCCGATCAAAGTGCCTGTTTTGATGTCATTCGCTCTGTCAAGAAATGAGAACGTTGATGTTAACTTCCGAAACAATAAAGACGAATAAATCTATCAAATCCAGTCGCTTTAGTCACAAAAAAACTGGTTACATGTTCAAATACACTACATGACTTTTAAATTCCTTTGAAAACAAGTGATATGAATCAAGAATAAAAGGTAAACAAACAGTGCGAGGTCAAATTCAGAAAAAAACAACAGAACGTAGCTCCAAGTTCAATGAAACAATCGTTTAAATTGACTTTGGTGTAGAAATGCAACGGTACCGATTTTTTCTTTCTATAATATACTGTTTTATAGACTTTACATGCTTTAACGTTTGTTACGTCCTTTACTGGCTGGTTTGACGTTAGCTATCAACTTGCTAAGTTAAGCTAGCTGGAAATCCAGCCGCATATTTACAGGTATTTTCTGTCATATCAAATATTTCTCTGACATATTCAGAGGTTAAATACACACGACAACAATATTCTATCAAACTCACCTGAAGAATTGAACGAGAAAACCTCGGAGTCCACCATGACCTCCTAACTGCCCCAAAGCCCTTCGGACGAGGTTCGCATACTCCGCCATCTTTAGACGGAAGGATTATGAAGACGGACCGTTCTCTCGTCTAAACAGGTCGGGCGACCAACAGACTCGGAGCTATTGTTCCATATCCAAATAAAAAATATTATATACCTTAAATATATCACTGATAAATTCAATTATAAACCTTAAATACTGACCATTAATGTATGATTCCACCACTGATTTTATTCATTTTTACATCCAATCATATCCTGAAACGACTTAATTTTGATTAAATAGAAAGAAAAAAAAAATCACACTTATCCTAACTGGCTGTATATTAAGGTCCTGTATAGTCTGTGCTTTATGTGTTATTTTAATTTATTAATCATTTAGGTACCCAGCCACACCTTTTATACATCTGTTTTTGCACAATGTACAGCTGAAAATATTTGTTGTATATTAAAATATACTACATATATTTAAAGGTTTGTATCACATTCCCACATTCTGTCTAACTTGCAAATACATATTTATTTGCGATGTTTTTGAGCTGAAACCTTCATTGGGCAAATGATTTGTTGCAAAGATTCATTTAAATGTATACAGTGATGCACATTAATTTAGTTTTGGGGAGAAATGGATGCTGTAGTCATATAAATACATAGCTGTTAAAGTATGAAAAATATATATATATATATATATATATATATAAGTTCTAAATATTAAAAAAACTTTTTTGGGGGGGCAGGGATTATGTAAATTAAACTACGTATAGAAAATCGAATTTGTGGAGGCGTTGATGCTAAGTAAAAGTATTATTGAGGGAAATTGTTATTGATGGTAACCTTTCCTGTATGCCATGTTCAATGTTATCTAATTGAAATGTGTATTTTCTCCATTGCAACTGTCCTAGAGGCCGTGAGGGTCTATTTATATTAACCTGACGTATACAGTCCTGACAAGTAGCGATAATTGTAAAGATTTTTTATGTATCTTTGATGTATTGTGAGTAGGTAGAAATTTAATATGACCTTGTTGTTTTTATATTTGGTTTCTATTTGTTCATCAATGCTCTTTTTAGCATTCCATGCAAATGTTTCCCTGCAGGTTCATCTACATGTGACCCTGCATGAAATTGGACATGTATATATATTTTGTGAAAAAAGTTTTGCCCTTGGGGAATTTAAACTTTCACACTGTCATACTCTATCCATTTACTGTCAACAATTCTGTGTTACATTAAAGACTGTGACTATATAGTGTGTTAGTGTGTGGTAGAAGGATGGAATAGAATAGAATAGAATAGAATAGAATAGAATAGAATAGAATAGAATAGAATAGAATAGTTCTTTATTGTCACTATGTAAGTAATGTTAAAAAGACAGCGCTGCAGTGTGGCAGCAATACACAAGTAAAAAAACAGGAAAGGAAAGATAAATATACATAGAAAGTATAAAATATTAAATATTAAAGCAAAGGAGGTATTTACAGTACACACTACAGTATTTACAGCAGACAGCATTTACAACAGGATTTTTTGAGATTCAGGCCTCCTTCTAGTAAGTAAAGAATGGGACTGGTTGTGGTGTTACAGCCACTCCCAAACTATGAAGGTCTAGCATTTAAATGTCAGAAATAAATGTTACTGCCAGTCTTACGACATGTTCAAAACTTTGATCAACTCAGCTTTGTAAGCGACAACCTCTCTTTATTCAGTTTATATATCATTTCAAAATCATTCTCAGCATGATTCACACATCGATTTAACACATTGAAAGCAGAAAATGAACAGTTAAATGACCAAATTCAGCAAGAAACCCTGAAGTGTTCTTCAGGTTGCTCGAGGACACTCGAGCAGCGCTGACACACGCTTGAACTCATGCTTTTTAATTAAAGCAGTTTGTCAGCGCGATGCATCCCTCTCCTGCCCAAGAGAGTGGATCTAACACAGTCACTGCTGAGGGAGAAAGGAAGGAAATAGAGCATGAAGCCACAGCGAAGTTCAGAGCTTTGGCTGCATGAAAAACGCCTTATCTCTCTAACCAACGCTTTGATCATGAGCTCAAAGAGAAGCTCAGCTGACAGATGCACACAAATGTGTATGACAGACCCTTGAACTTCTGCCTCCCACATATATCTGTCGGCACTTCGCAATAAGCCACGACGAAGGTTTTGTGATCATATACAAACTGCACAGGTCACTGATTTTCATCATATGATGGAACAAAGACAGAAATCAACACAGGAGGACAAGATTTATATTTATATAGATTTTTATTAAAAACTGTTGCCTGACAGTTTAGAAATGTTTATGAGACTCTAACTCTGATAGAGTGGATGTTTACACATGTTAATGTACAATCATGGAGAAATGAATGCTAGATAGCTCCAGGTTTGCATCTTCACACCAGGCTGCTGCAGATTTTTTCTCACGAGCCTAAATCTGAACGAGGCACACATGAAGCTGTACGACAACAGCAGCCAAACAGCTCTAATGACAGTAGCAACTGTTTTGTTCCTTCACTAAAATAAAGCAAGCTCTCAGGTTTCTCCACCTGTGAAATCAACACATTTTCTCTGATGGAGTTTTGCAATATGGCATATTAATTAAAAACTGCTGCATTTTAAAGTACAAACTCTGAGTACCCTGGCAAGAAAGTGAGTAGTCATGCAAACTGGATGCTAAAATTTGTCCTATATAGTGAAGAATTTCAAACAAAGCACCTATATTATTGCAGTTTCTCTCAAAACAGGAGATATAAAAGGCACAATGTCTGCAAAAACAAAATGTTCAATTCAAAATCTGTTTCTTTTGAGCATTTCCTTAGAAATATAGTTCATGCATACTTTCCACAGTGTTTGCTCATTTAAAAAAAAAAAAAGCCCTTTTCTTTAAAAAAAAAAATATGGAAAAAGATGGAAACATATTTCCTTACAAACCCTGACTCCCAAAATAAGTGGCAGCCTGCGCTTTTCAAACAATAAATCTTCCTGTTTTATAAATATTAGCTCTTGGCTTTGAAAAAAAAGGTCATTGTTGCTCTTTCATGTCCATATACACAGCATTACCCTTTAACCTTTTCTAATGTGGCTAAACAGGCAAAAAATACATTTTGTATTTAAAAATATCTACAATGTTCCTGACATTTCCAGTTGTCTCCAGGATGTTGTTTTTTAATATCATGATCATGAAAGGTTTGGTATTTTACATCTAAAAATCTAGCAGGAAAATCTCTTAACCAGAGAGACGAACCTAAAAAGAAAAATATGTATGTTTTTTTTTGTTAAAGCCTGATTTTCACAGTAAAATCCCACCTTGTTACATAATTATTCTCCTTACAGACATCCATGATACTCTGCGTCTATGATGCAGATAATAGTTTGGGTTATTTGTGTTTGAATAAAGACACACAGTAGGTTTTAATACTACTGTGCAGCAAATACAAAGGTTTGAATCAGGGTGGACAGCTCATGCATTTTTTGTGATTCCTTCACCCGACAGCATTTTAAAATCCTTCCCAGACTTCAGACTTCCGAGGATTTCCCAGGGCTTCAAAAGGCCCGGACAACTGTTTGGTCTCACTTCCACACACATGCTTCTGGACTTGACCGTTGACCCACAGCTGCAGCTCTGACCTCAGCCGGCACTGCTGAGCATCAGAGGCTGTCGTTGGTATAAAAAAAAATAAAATAGTGAAACAGAATCTGGTTCTTTTGAGGGCAAAGCAGTCTGGTTTCCACGCACAGTTTGTGGCGCTCTGCAGCAGGTTTCCGTTAAAGGTAGACAGTCCACCTGGAGTCCTTCCTGAGCTGGTGACCCCTGACCTGCGATTAATCGGGGGCCGTAAGTTGTCTATCAACTTGACTCCGGGGCTGTGGTATGACTTCACTGCTGAACAGGGGCTTACTGTTCAAGAATCATCGCCTCCTGGAAGGCTTCGATCCATCTGAAGAGAAAAACAAAAAACTGAAAATGAGCTACAACTGAAAAACAATGAATTAGGACAGAATTCTGTCATGATTTCACAACCAATCTCTCATGTCATTCTTGTATTTTTTCAGCAGAAGCCATTTAATCTGTTTATATTCAGTAAAAAATAATGCAGCATTTTCGTTCTCCCACAGCTGTATCAGAGTGGAGTTAATGCTGTCGCAGCCAAAACAAGCCATGAACACAACATCACCACATCATCAACCTTTTTGATTTTTTTTTTGTTTTGTGATGGGAATCAACACGGTAGGAATTTTTTCTGTTGACAATGCGTCCATATCACATTAGCAAGCAGCTTCATATTTATTAATCCAGCAGCTACTCAGTATTGTCATTCGAGTCATCTGTGAGTCTAGCTGATGAATGTAAGTCACATTTTTACTCTCTTCTAGATCAGATTTTGGTCTCCACCAGTGGCTGAGGGAAATTTGGGGCTCCTTATCTGTTAAATGCTCCACTATGTTCAGCAGCTAGCCTCTAACTGTGTCTGTCTGCCTCTTGCTAAAACGACAATATGAGAGCAACAAGAGCAAAACAAAACAGTACAATGACGGCCCAGTCAGCTAAAAAATGAGCTGAAACTCAATAAAAAGCTATTTAATTCTCTTCAAGTGACATTTTTCACATTTGAGTTATCATTTGATACGAAAAATATAGATCATAGCTGTTTTAATTTATTGATAATGCAAACATAACATCAGTAGCTGCATCACATTCAACATGAGGTGTCTTTTATTATAAAGCAATCACACTACGATAGTTTATTAAAACATGTCTACAAAACAAGACTGTTTGCTGTTTCTATCCTCAGTGGATCAGTTACAATATTTGCAGGAAGTAATGGAGCAAGAAGTTGTAAATAACAACTTTTCTGCTCCATGTGCAGCATAAAAATATAAAACTGCTGTAATTATCAGTGACTGACGTCTGTATTAATGTAAAATAATGTAAAAACATCATGAGTTTATTTGACTGCGTTAGTAGATACATCGGCCGCTCATCTGACACAGAAGCTTTTCAAGAACTGCTTGAGATACAATTAAACTGCACTTGCTGTTATCACGACTAAAGTGAATTTGTCAAATAAACCAGGACTAAAATCTGAAAAACTACAACTTCCCAGTAAAGTTTCGGTCACAACCGGCCGTACGGGCTCTTACAGCCTGTCTGCGTCCAAAATATGTGCAAAATGGTACGTGTCACGTAAGTCTGTCTTGCAGACTTTCAAGGTCGCAGACAGCCCGTAAGCACGTAGGGAGGATCTTTGACATGTCAAAAGATTCTACGAAGGTGGCAAGACAAACTCTAGAAGTGACTACAATTTGCTGCATGCTGCAAACTGAACGGACATCTCACGTGCGACTCGCAAGGCAGGCTTGCTCCTTTCTTACGCGTTCTGATAGAGTCCTTGCAACCTTTCCTCTACCTGTACGACCTCCACGACCTCCATGGGACCCAAAATTCGCAGAGGATGTACGATCCCAAAAGTCTTGCCTCCGGTTGAGACTGAGGCCTTAAGTCAGCAACTACGGTTTTTGCAAAATTCAGTGGCACTCTCCTCACACTCTGCTAGCTTTCAGCTCAGCGTGTAGACTGGAAAAAAAAATCTGGTGTTTGTGTGTGTGGCGCAAATTGATCCAAACAACATTATTCCAGTAATCCTTTTTAGCACTTATGCAAAGGAGGTAAATGCAGCACATGCTAACGATGCAAATATGCCAACAAGGTAAATACCAACAATCTCCCTGTGTCGTTTTAAGTCAGATACCTCTGTGCTGTGGGGATGTCATCAGCCTTGAAGATGTAAAACAGTGTATTTTTGTGATACAGCTTGAACTGCAGCTTCTGAGCCGGCCCGTTCTTCTCCTCTCTCAGGAAGAAACCCAGCAAAGGTTGGCTCTCCAACGCTGCCACGTCCTACCCAGAGAAAATATTGATCAACCCAACGGCTGAAAACCTACACACAGTTCAGAATAACATTATCTCAGACAGGTTGAGTACCTCGCTGGCAGCGTAGGTGTACAGGACTTTATTCTTGATGACAAACCACAGCCTCTTCCACTGCTTCTTGTTGCCTTTTGACCTGTTCAAGTAGCCGCTCATGGAGGAGTTCTCTGTGTTTGCAGACACCTGGACAAACAGCATGAGAAAATTAATACGCACATCATTACTACAGCAAAGGTGCAAAACCTATGACACATTTTGAACCTAAAAGCAAATTTAGCCCATTGATGTTGCTCACCTCTTTTAGTGCAGCGGGAATCTTCTTCTGTTTTCTGGTGAAGGAGAATGCTCCAGATTTGATGGGAGAAACTGATGTTGAGGCACAGCGGTCACCTAAAAAAACAACCAAAATTCGATGAATACACCAAAACTATATAGTCATACACCAGATACAACAAAT